GGTCTGTGAAAGCCAGAAATCTTGCTTGTTTGTAGGTGACCAAATATTTATTTTCCACCCTAATTTGCAAATAAATTCTTTAAAAATCCTACAATGTGATTTTTTTTTCTCAATTTGTCTGTCATAGTTGACGTGTACCTATGATGAAAATTACAGGCCTCTCTCGTCTTTTTAAGTGGGAGAACTTGCACAATTGGTGGCTGACTAAATACTTTTTTTCCCCACTGTACATGTAACTACTGCCACCTAGATTCACCGGGACATAGATACATGTAACTACTGCCACCTAGATTCACCGGGACATAGATACATGTAACTACTGCCACCTAGATTCACCGGGACATAGATACATGTAACTACTGCCACCTAGATTCACCGGGACATAGATACATGTAACTACTGCCACCTAGATTCACCGGGACATAGAAACATGTAACTACTGCCACCTAGATTCACCGGGACATAGATACATGTAACTACTGCCACCTAGATTCACCGGGACATAGATACATGTAACTACTGCCACCTAGATTCACCGGGACATAGATACATGTAACTACTGTCACCTAGATTCACCGGGACATAGATACATGTAACTACTGCCACCTAGATTCACCGGGACATAGATACATGTAACTACTGCCACCTAGATTCACCGGGACATAGATACATGTAACTACTGCCACCTAGATTCACCGGGACATAGATACATGTAACTACTACCACCTAGATTCACTGGGACATAGATACATGTAAACTACTGCCACCTAGCATTCACCGGGACATAGATACATGTAACTACTGCCACCTAGATTCACCGGGACATAGATACATGTAACTACTGCCACCTAGATTCACCGGGACATAGATACATGTAACTACTGCCACCTAGATTCACCGGGACATAGATACATGTAACTACTACCACCTAGATTCACCGGGACATAGATACATGTAAACTACTGCCACCTAGATTCACCGGGACATAGAAACATGTAAACTTGCCACCTAGATTCACCGGGACATAGATACATGTAACTACTGTCACCTAGATTCACCGGGACATAGATACATGTAACTACTGTAACCTAGATTCACCGGGACATAGATACATGTAACTACTGCCACCCTAGATTCACCGGGACATAGATACATGTAACTACTGCCACCTAGATTCACCGGGACATAGATACATGTAACTACTGCCACCTAGATTCACCGGGACATAGATACATGTAACTACTGCCACCTAGATTCACCGGGACATAGATACATGTAACTACTGCCACCTAGATTCACCGGGACATAGATACATGTAACTACTACCACCTAGATTCACCGGGACATAGATACATGCAACTACTGCCACCTAGATTCACCGGGACATAGATACATGTAACTACTGCCACCTAGATTCACCGGGACATAGATACATGTAACTACTGCCACCTAGATTCACCGGGACATAGATACATGTAACTACTGCCACCTAGATTCACCGGGACATAGATACATGTAACTACTGCCACCTAGATTCACCGGGACATAGATACATGTAACTACTGCCACCTAGATTCACCGGGACATAGATACATGTAACTACTACCACCTAGATTCACCGGGACATAGATACATGTAACTACTGCCACCTAGATTCACCGGGACATAGATACATGTAACTACTGCCACCTAGATTCACCGGGACATAGATACATGTAACTACTGCCACCTAGATTCACCGGGACATAGATACATGTAACTACTGCCACCTAGATTCACCGGGACATAGATACATGTAACTACTGCCACCTAGATTCCACCGGGACATAGATACATGTAACTACTACCACCTAGATTCACCGGGACATAGATACATGTAACTACTGTCACCTAGATTCACCGGGACATAGATACATGTAACTACTGCCACCTAGATTCACCGGGACATAGATACATGTAACTACTGCCACCTAGATTCACCGGGACATAGATACATGTAACTACTGCCACCTAGATTCACCGGGACATAGATACATGTAACTACTGCCACCTAGATTCACCGGGACATAGATACATGTAACTACTGCCACCTAGATTCACCGGGACATAGATACATGTAACTACTGCCACCTAGATTCACCGGGACATAGATACATGTAACTACTACCACCTAGATTCACCGGGACATAGATACATGTAACTACTGCCACCTAGATTCACCGGGACATAGATACATGTAACTACTGCCACCTAGATTCAGTAAGGATCAAGCTGAAGCAACTAGAATCAGAATAATGCAATAACACACAAAAAGACAATATACACTATTGATATACAAGTCATTTACACACAAATGTAAATTGTTACTTTTTCTTTAGTCTCCATTGATTGAGAGTTCTGTCCCAAAATGATAGAAGCTTGCTACTCCGTATAACAAACAGGTTTTATTCATGTTTGCAACCAGCAGCTCCTCTACTATTGATTCGAATATTTTGAGCCAGATTCTAATTGGTATGTCTAATTTAATAGATTGTTTAATGGCAGAGAAAACCCTCCTTGGTTGGTCTTTCAGTTCATTCACAGCCAGGATCACAGTTCCCTGTGGAGCTGATTTCTAGTCCTAAATATGTGTAGGTGTGTGTTTTCTACTTTTGCATATTTGTGGTACTGAATGTTATCAGATCTTCAACCAAAACCTAATATTAGATAAAGGGAACATAAGTGAACAAATAACACAACAATTACATATTTATTTCAGAAACAAAGTTATGCAACACCCAATTCCCCTGTGTGAAAAAGTAATTGCCCCCTTACACTCAATAACTGGTTGTGCCACCTTTAGCTGCAATGCCTCCAACCAAATGCTTCCTGTAGTTGTTGATCAGTCTCTCACGTCACTGTGGAGGAATTTTGGCCCACTCTTCCATGTGGAACTGCTTTAACTCAGTGACGTGTGGGTTTTCACGCATGAACTGCTCGTTTCAAGTCCTGCCACAACATCTCAATTGGGATTAGGTCTGGACTTTGACTAGGCCATTCCAAAACTTCCAATTTGTTGCTTTTAGCAATTTTCATGTAGACTTGATTGTGTGTTTTGGATCATTGTCTTGCTGCATGACCCAGCTGCGCTTCAGCTTCAGCTCACAGACGGATGGTCTGACATTCTCCTGTAGAATTCTCTGATACAGAGCAGAATTCATGGTTGCTTCTATTAAGGCAAGTCATCCAGGTCCTGAGGCAGCAAAGCATCCCCAAACCATCACACCACCACCAAGATGCTTGACCTTTGGTATGATGTTCTTACTGTGGAATGCAGAGTTTTGTTTTCGCCAGGCATTACTTGGAACCATGTCGTCCAAAAAGTTATACTTTTGAATCATCTGTCCATAGAACGTTCTTGATGATCATCCAGGTGCTTTTTGGCAAACTTGAGTCAACTTTTTGGATGAGATGGGTCCCATTATGCCTGGCGAAAACCAAACATTGCATTCCACAGTAAGAACTTGTGAAAAAAAGTGACATTTGGGGGTTTTCAAGCCCTGCCACTTCTCAATTGGGATTAGGTCTGGATTTTGACTAGGCATTTGATTTCTGTGTCATTAAGAGTGAGAACGGGGGCTGTTGATATCTCAAGCGTTTTGGACAATTCATTTATATGGTTGTCTAGCAATGATCAACAACCAATTTGACAGAACTTGAAGAATTTTGAAAAGAATAATGGGCAAGTGTTGAACAGTCCAGGTGTGGAAAGCTCTTAGACTTAGCTAGAAAGGCTCACAGCTGTAATCACAGGTGACTGTAACATGCTCACAGGGTTGAAGACTTATCTAGTCAAGTTAGTGTTATTTTTATTTTTTATTTTTACAAACGTTAGAATTTTTCTTCCACTTTGACATGAATATTTTGTGTAGATCGTTGACAAAAAAGGACAATTAAATCCATTTGAATCTCACTTTTTAACAAGAAAATGTGGAAAAAAGTAAAGGGGTGTGACTACTTTATAAAAGCACTGTGTGTGTGTGTGTGTGTGTACACGCACAGTGCCTTTAGAAAGTAGTCACAACGCTTAACTTTTTTCCACATTTTCTTGTTAAACCATAAAAATCTGCATGGGCAGATTGGGCCAGACCACATTTTAATGGGGTGGGCTGGTCAGAATTGACCCAAAAAAGTATATATACATATACACACATATACACTTTTTTTGGGGGGGGTCAATTTTGACCAGCCCACCCCCATTAAAAGATGGTCCAGCCCAATCTTCCCATGCAGACAGGTATACTATACTGTATAAAGGACTAATGTAACCATTTTTAGAGTGTAGGACCAAACGTTTAATTCTCCCTGCATCAATTGACTTCATCATCATCGTCACCACCATAGTCACTATCATCACCACCACGATTGAACATTTTCATGACAGGACAGTTCCTGTACAGCCACATTCTGTAGAAGACATTCCAGAACATTCTCAGTTTCGAGGAAGCCTAGTATTCTGATGACCACATTCCCATTCATGCTTTCAGTTTCGACGAAGCAATAATACAAAACGTATCGATATTATTCATACAGTCAGTTAAATGCATTATCGTGATTGGTTCCTTTCTTATTAGGCTAAACTGCCTATATGTTATAACGTAAGGAGAATGATACTAAAATGAAAAGGCGGCAATTTATTTGTATAATATAATGTGCGTGTATTTTAGCATATTATTAACTATGCTGATATAGCCTACTTCTGAAACCCAACATTTAGATACACATATAAAGTTAGTCGTATAATAGCCTATATCAGGTTTGACGAGTTAGAAGCTGTCTAAACCAGATGCAACAGGTGACACCACACCCAGCTTGTCGGTAATCAAGGTACCTCCCCTCTCAGTTTCAGTCTGACAAGTTTTTAAGACAACACTCCAGACTGTCGACTTCAGTTCACTTAGACAGACTAGGCTAGTGCTGCTGTATCACCTGAACAGGTTAGTAACAGCAGTCCAGCAGCTATGCCGAGCCAAACTGAGCAGTGGATCCGCACTTCGTTGCGCACCCCGGGCATTTTTATCTTCGGAATGGTCCTTGCCCCTTGCGGCTGGATCCTAAACCTCACAGCGACAGTCTCTCCCAACTGGAGAACCATCCACACTATCCCCTCAAACCCGCCTGATACGTTCCTTCAGCAAGGCATCTGGGACATATGCCTGGCGTCCGACTCATCCCGAGTGGTCCTCTGTAACCAAAATGACATAACCTACTTCAACAACCAGATTATAGTGGTCGCCCAGGGCTTGATGGTAGCGTCTCTGATACTGACTCTGATCGGGCTGGCCACGGCAACCCCCGGGGTAAGGTGCTGGACAGACCACCCGAACTGGACAGTAGCCGGGCTGGGGGGAATACTCATCTTTCTGTCGGGAGTCATGACGATCATCCCTATTGCATGGTACACTCACATCCTCAAAAGCATCGCAGCATCCAGCACCGACATTCGCGTCGGCTACTGTATTATTTTGGGATACATCGGGGGCATCTTCGAGCTACTGGGCGGCTTGGTCATGTGCATCGGGATGTGTCGTTGCTGTGGCGGTAAGAACCGCGGAGAGACGCGAATCTCGGAGACCACCGCACACTTCAGAAACACCAAACCCCCACGGCGCCGCATCGAGGTGCCTAGCATCGCCCGAACCCTGAGCAGCGCTAGCAGCGTCCCCTACTCTAAAGACTCCATGGAAGACGAGGCGGACTTCCCCCGGGCAAAGAGCACCTCGTACGGAGGAAGACGACCTGCTTATGACGCTGATCTGTGAGGACATTATGGTGAAGAGGGTCAGTTGCCATTGATAGAAGTTGTGACATGTACTGTACAGTGCTATAGAAGATATATCTACCAAATGAAGGACATTTACCTCTACATGTAGGCATGTTGTTTTAACCATAAAACACATTTTAACTACACCTAATCTTGTTGTTTGGGTGAATATGATAGAACTAAAAAGTATTTCACACTTTTAGGAATATGCCTATGATGTGGCCTATGGCATTTTTGTATTTGAAGATGTTTGGTAGTCATTTGTAAATGGTTACTATGTCAGCTCCATAGAACATGGAATATATATATATATATATATATATATACACACTTAAATATTGGATGGGTCAGGATCTGTGAGCTCAAATCATTGTGGACTTAACTGTCTAAATACACTTTACATTCTATTCCAGGAGGATAGACTGTTAGGCCTACATGTTGTGATCCTACTGTAAATTAGTTTAATAAGGGCTGCTAGGCCTACAAGTTATCCTACATGTTAGGCCTACAAGTTATCCTACATGTTAGGCCTACATGTTGTGATCCTACTGTAAGTGATTTTTAGGGCTGTTAGGCCTACAAGTTATCCGATATGTTAGGCCTACATCTCCCGAGTGGCGCAGTGGTCTAAGGCACTGCATTGCAGTGCTAGCTGTGCCACTAGAGATCCTGGTTCGAATCCAGGCTCTGTCGTAGCCGGCCGCGACCGGGAGAACCATGGGGCGGCGCACAATTGGCCCAGGGTAGGGGAGAGAATGGCCGGCAGGGATGTAGCTCAGTTGGTAAAGCATGGTGTTTGCAACGCCAGGGTTGTGGGTTCGATTGCCACGGGGGGGCCAGTATGAAAAAATAAACAATAAAAAAAGCACTCACTAACTGTAAGTCACTCTGGATAAGAGCGTCTGCTAAATGACTAAAATGTACATGTTGTGATCCTACTGTAAGTGATTTTTAGGGCTGTTAGGCCTACATGTTATGTTCCTACTGTGGGATTTTAATAAATACACTTTTTTTATAGTTGTGTTGGGGTTTTCTGTTGAATATATTGTATTAATTCCTACTGGGGATTGACATGTTGTTGAATTGACAGTTTAACGGTCGACTAGTGAAACAAAAGTCACAGGAATTAGAGTTGACAGACAATCGCTAGGGTGAACATTTAAAGGGATGATTTTGCAGGACAGTATAGCCTATGCATTCATATTTTGGGGGGCTTAACATCACCAGCACCACATCCTTATGATATAATATCTTGTAAGTGCAACGTGACAGGTTGGAATGTCAATTCTCATCAAATGAAGTCTGAAATACGTGGCAAATTTACCTTTTTTTGTAAATTAGTGGTTTTAATTTGTTGATAAAATGTGGGACATGATTGTTTGGGTGCAGGACAAAGGGCCAACATGTGGAACTAAAGTGATCTATACTATTCCGGAACAGAACCGTATTCCGGAACAGAACCGTTATTTTAAAAGCATGGGATCGGTTAATAACTTTATTTTACGTTCTTTTTAACCCACAAAACTCAAAGCCATCCTATGCAAAGCCATCCTTCTGTCAATCAGAAACTTCTTTCAGTGTCTGCCTGCAAGCTGAAAATCTTTGACTGTGTTTGGTCTACCTACCAAAAATAATTTGTTCCAAACCCTGCTTTCTAATCTCAGAATGCCAACGAGTTGTTTTGTTGGCCAAGTGCATGGATGTCATAAACAGGTAAAAACTAGGCCTAGTGATCTAAAGGTTAGTTCTGCAAAGTGTGATGGGTTCTCCAAATGTGATAGACAATCTGTTTAAAAGCATACCACTGGGAGACATTGACCACACAGAAGTGAAGTAAACAGTGTTTAATGTGAATTTGCCCAGGTTTAAACATTTCCATATGTAAATTCAGATACAATAACAAAGCTTAAAAAATTAAAATAAAAACATTTTGTTCGCAGTGCTTCTACTATAATTATTCAAGAACATAATAGCATTTTATCTACATAGAATGAACAACGCGGTTGTGCGTTCCAAAGGTCCATGACCAGGCTTCCACTGTGTTCTCACCAACATCCAGATGGAGACTCCAGCAGCTTGGAATTAACACATACAAAAAACACTAGAGTTTACAACAGAGTTTACAGTTACAAGAGAAAATTATATCAGCGAGGGGACCAGACTTGTATACAACGGTATATATTTTCAAACCTCTGTGGCCAATGAAAAGCACTGTTGGAATTCCTGTCATGTTTTGGAGCAACTGAATGTTTCCATTGCTTAGGTGTGCCTATCGGTCACTTGTCATGAGTCAGAGATAACACTAAGTCAGGCAACACAAAATCAGTCAGGCAACAGTCAGGCAACACAAAATCAGTCAGGCAACAGTCAGGCAACACAAATCAGTCAGGCAACAGTCAGGCAACACAAATCAGTCAGGCAACAGTCAGGCAACACAAACCAGTCAGGCAACAGTCAGGCAACACAAATCAGTCAGGCAACACAAATCAGTCAGGCAACAGTCAGGCAACACAAACCAGTCAGGCAACACAAATCAGTCAGGCAACACAAATCAGTCAGGCAACACAAATCAGTCAGGCAACACAAATCAGTCAGGCAACAGTCAGGCAACACAAATCAGTCAGGCAACACAAATCAGTCAGGCAACAGTCAGGCAACACAAACCAGTCAGGCAACACAAATCAGTCAGGCAACAGTCAGGCAACACAAACCAGTCAGGCAACACAAACCAGTCAGGCAACACAAACCAGTCAGGCAACACAAATCAGTCAGGCAACAGTCAGGCAACACAAACCAGTCAGGCAACAGTCAGGCAACACAAACCAGTCAGGCAACGGAGTGCATCACCACACTAACCAGTCAGGCAACGGAGTGCATCACCACACTAACCAGTCATAACAGCCTTTATAACCATATAAACCAGACAGGCAACGGAGTGCATCACCACACTAACCAGTCATAACAGCCTTTATAACCATATAAACCAGACAGGCAACGGAGTGCATCACCACACTAACCAGTCATAACAGCCTTTATAACCATATAAACCAGACAGGCAACGGAGTGCATCACCACACTAACCAGTCATAACAGCCTTTATAACCATATAAACCAGACAGGCAACGGAGTGCATCACCACACTAACCAGTCATAACAGCCTTTATAACCATATAAACCAGACAGGCAACGGAGTGCATCACCACACTAACCAGTCATAACAGCCTTTATAACCATATAAACCAGACAGGCAACGGAGTGCATCACCACACTAACCAGTCATAACAGCCTTTATAACCATATAAACCAGACAGGCCAGGATCAGTGTGAGAAAACCTGCTGCTCGTTATGGCTTTGGTTTCCCAGAATGCAAAGCATAAAGTCAGTCAGTGTAAAGTAGCCAAAAAAAGTCCTTTATACAAGTAGTCCTACCATTGTGATTTATATTAGTACCACAGCATAGTTGTTTATATAAGTAGTCCTATGGTATAGTAGTTAACACTCGTACTAGCGTATGTAGTTTACATGAATAGTACTACAGTATATAGTTGTTAATATGAAGAGTACTACAGAATATAGTTGCTTATATAAATAGTACTACAGTATATAGTTGTTTATACCGGGGATAAAGCCTGATGAAGAGGATGTGCTCTGATGTGGACAGTCAACCTAACCTACAAGAAGAGAAACAACGTCATTCAAATCACACAGAAGACATTCAGTTCTCTAGCCATGTTAAACACTTCATAAACGTTAAACATATATACTAATTATTTTAACTACTGTAAATCACAACATATCATACCTGTTTTTTGTTAGCATGAAATTCATGTTTTTGTGGCATGAGCTAGAGTTTAGTTCATGCTAATTGTCCTACCTTGAGTATGATGGTGCAACAGAATGCCTTTCTCTACTCCGTTGGAATCCTTGGCTGCAGCTTTCCTATAACGACACAAGGAGTAAGGTTTCATCATACGTTCAGTTGGCTGTATTTATATTGAGTTATTATGATTATAATGATTCTATAGTTACCGCCTTTTGGCCTTGACCCTCTGCCTGATGAAAGAAATGAGGAAGGACAGGATGAGGATACCAACGATTAAGGCCAACACCCCCAGGGTGAGCGGAATCCTGATTTCCTCATTGACACTCTCATGGCAGAACTCTCCTCTGTACCCCAGGATACACTCACAGGTGGTGGCCTGGCCCTGAGCCACACAATGACCATGTCCTTTACACAGCTGGGCAGCACAGGACTGCAGGTCCAGACCACGCACCACACCATCGTCCAGGTGTAGGGTTACGGTGGGAGAGATGGCCATGATGTCGGCTGAGCCTTAGGTCACACCAGGGGAGCTGGGGATAGAGCATAGACTTAGAGCCTTAACATACAGTATGTATAGTAACATCTATACCATGTGTTCTAATGGAATCCATACAGTATGTATAGTAACATCTATACCATGTGTTCTAATGGAATCCATACAGTATGTATAGTAACATCTATACCATGTGTTCTAATGTAATACATTCAGATGTAGTTATGGCAGAGCAGACAACTAGATTAGAAGTCAAATGTAGCCTTTTTATGGCTGAGCAGAGAACTACATCTGTCTTCTAATCTAGCTATGGCTGAGCAGACAGCTAGACTAGCATACAAATGTACAGTGCAGTCGGAAAATATTCAGACCCCTTCACGTTTTTCACATTTTCAATCAATACAAAATACCCCATAAATGACAAAGGAAATAGGTTTAGAAATTCTTGCAAATCTATTTAAAATAAAAAACTGAAATATGCCATATATATAAGTATTCAGAGCCTTTACTCAGTACTTTGTTGAAGCACCATTGGCAGCAATTACAGCCTCGAGTCTTCTTGGGTATGACGCTACAAGCTTGGCACACCTTTATTTGGGGAGTTTCTCCCAATCTTATCTGCAGATCCTCTCAAGCTCCGTCAGGTTGGATGAGGAGCGACGCTGCACAGCTATTTTCAGGT